AGCGCGTGTTTAGTGCAGCAGGAGGTATTGTAACTCCGCGGAGGACACGACTGTCCACCCAAAGTGTGGAGAGACTCAAGTTTGTGAAAATGAATCAGGCGTGGATTAGTCTGGATTTCAAACCACCAGTTCCTGACACAACTGACTAAAATCCGCCATGAATCATGCCCCAAACATGTTATTATTTTTAACATAGGCCTCTGTATGGCCTTCAATTTAAGCTGCTTACACTTCGCCACTCTGCCATGGGCCCCTGTACCGCCTCCTCTTGCTGCTGCCAGGTCCAGAGTGTGTCATGGGTCCCTGTACGGCCTCCCATTGCTGCTGTTCTCCATCGCCACACTCTGCCATGTGCCACTTTCAGGTCTCCTCACACTGCTGGTGGTTCCATTTTTTTTCATAGGGTGCTGTATGGCCTCCCATTGCTGCTGCCTCCACCGCCACACTGTGGCTCCACACTCTGGTTTTGGCCCCGTGACTGCGTGTGCAGTGATTCTAAGATCGACGGCACTCATCTGCATGTCATTCTGACTGACAGTATTATTTCTCTTCCCCAGCAGACTCCAAAGGCATTTAAATTAAAGGTACAGTGTTCTTCACTAATATAAAGGCTCTCTGAAGCCTAGAAACACCCTTTTTATAAGTTAAATTCGCAGCGAATATATTAGACTCGAATCGAATTTATTCCGCGAATTCGCCGAATCAGCCGAATCGAATTTTTGAATAATTCGCTCATCTCTAGCTATGTTATATTTGTATTAAATTTATTTAAACCTTTATCTATATTATTTTCTTTATAAGGAGCAGAATAAGTTCAGTCTTGGGAATGAACAATCCAGACTCCCAATGCATATACAGGTGAAACTCAAAAAATTAGAATATCGTGCAAAAGTTCATTTATTTCAGTAATGCAATTTAAAAGGTGAAACTAATATATGAGATAGACTCATTACATGCAAAGCAAGATAGTTCAAGCTGTGATTTGTCATAATTGTGATGATTATGGCTTACAGCTCATGAAAACCCCAAATCCACAATCTCAGAAAATTAGAATATTGTGAAATGGTGCAATATTCTAGGCTCAAAGTGTCCCACTCTAATCAGCTAATTAAGCCATAACACCTGCAAAGGGTTTCTGAGCCTTTAAATGGTCTCTTATGCAGGCCATAGATGGGGAGAAAAACGGCCGATTTTTCTTTAAAAAAAGAAAAATCGGTCGTTCAAGCGGCCGACGTTACCAGGAATGGTAAAAAAAAAAAAAATCGGACGATTTTCATCCCGTCTACAGCCGGCAAAAAGTGTCCCTGCAGAGAGCTCCGCTATTTCTTTGACAGTGCTTTGACATTTATAGCGGCTGCAACAATGTATCTATTTGTATCCATTTCAGATACAGCTGTTTTTATTCGGAAACAAATAGATACATTGTTGCAACCGCTAAAAAATGTCAAAGCACTGTCAAAGAAATAGCGGAGCTCTCTGCAGGGACACTTTTTGCCAGACTGGAATTCTTCTTCTTCTTCATCCTCTTCTTCCTCTTCATCCTCTTCTTCCTCTTCAACTTCATCCTTTTCTTTATCCTCTTCCTCTTCATCCTCTTCTTCTTCATCCTCTTCATCCTCTTCTTCTTCATCCTCTTCATCCTCTTCTTCTTCATCCTCTTCATCCTCTTCTTCTTCATCCTCTTCATCCTCTTCTTCTTCATCCTATTCTTCCTCTTCATCCTATTCTTCTTCATCATCATCCTCTTCTTCATCATCATCCTCTTCTTCATCATCATCCTCTTCTTCATCATCATCCTCTTCTTCTTCATCCTCTTCTTCTTCATCCTCTTCTTCTTCATCATCATCCTCTTCTTCTTCATCATCCTCTTCTTCTTCATCATCCTCTTCTTCATCCTCTTCTTTATCCTCTTCATCCTCTTCTTCATCCTCTTCATCCTCTTCTTCATCCTCTTCTTCATCTATTTCTTCTTCTTTTTGTCTTCCTCTTGCAGGTCACTGCTCATGCGCAGATTTTTTATCGGTAAAAAGATCGACCGATTTGCCCATAATTGCCGTGAAAATCGGCCGATCGGCAGCATCGGCCGATCTTTTTCCAACTTTACCGATAAAAAAAATCTGCCAAAATACCGAAAAACGGCTGAACAATTAACCCACTAACGATCCGAAAATCGGCCCGATTTTCGACCCATCTATGGCTTGCATTAGTCTGGTTCAGTAGGAATCACAATCATGGGAAAGACTGCTGACCTGACAGTTGTGCAGAAAACCATCATTGACACCCTCCGTAAGGAGGGAAAGCCTCAAAAGGTAATTTGCAAAAGAAGTTGGATGTTCCCAAAGTGCTGTATCAAAGCACATTAATAGAAAGTTATGTGGAAGGGAAAAGTGTGGAAGAAAAAGGTGCACAAGCAGCAGGGATGACCGCAGCCTGGAGAGGATTGTCAGGAAAAGGCCATTCAAAAGTGTTGGGACTTTCACAAGGAGTGGACTGAGGCTGGAGTCAGTGCATCAAGAGCCGCCACACACAAATGGATCCTGGACATGGGCTTCAAATGTCGTATTCCTCTTGTCAAACCGCTCCTGAACAACAAACAACGTCAGAAGCATCTTACCTGGGCTAAAGAAAAACAGACCTGGTCTGTTGCTCAGTGGTCCAAAGTCCTCTTTTCTGATGAGAGCAACTTTTGCATCTCATTTGGAAACCAAGGACCCAGAGTATGGAGGAAGAATGGAGAGGCACACACTGCAAGATGCTTGAAGTCCAGTGTGAAGTTTCCACAGTCTGTGTTGATTTGGGGAGCCATGTCATCTGCTGGTGTTGGTCCACTGTACTTCAGTAAGTCCAGGGTCAACGCAGCCGTCTACCAGGAGATTTTGGAGCACTTCATGCTTCCTTCCACAGACAAGCTTTATGGGGATGCTGACTTAATTTTCCAGCAGGATTTGGCACCTGCCCACACTGCGAAAAGCACAAAAACCTGGTTCAATGACCGTGGGATTACTGTGCTTGATTGGCCAGCAAACTTGCCTGACCTGAACCCCCTAGAGAATCTATGGGGCATTGCCAAGAGAAAGATGAGATACATGAGACTGAACAATGCAGAAGAGCTGAAGGCCGCTATTGAAGAATCCTGGTCTTCCATAACACCTCAGCAGTGCCACAGGCTGATAGCTTCCATACCACGCCGCATTGAGGCAGTAATTGCTGCAAAAGGGGTCCAAACCAAGTAGTGAGTACATATGCATGCTTCTACTTTTCAGAGGTCTGATATTGTTCTATGTACAATCCTTGTTTTATTGATTGCATGTAATATTCTAATATTCTGAGATTGTGGATTTGGGGTTTTCATGAGCTATAAGCCATAATCATCACAATTTTGAAAAATCACGGCTTGAACTATCTTGCTTTGAATGTAATGAGTCTATCTCATATATTAGTTTCACCTTTTAAGTTGCTTTATCGAAATAAATGAACTTTTGCACGAGTAAGTAAGTAATAGATCACTGTAATGGCCACTGTCAGCAGGCTTTGTTTGCATCAGATCTCTCCTTATACAAGTCAATGGAATTGTAAAAAAATCTTGAAGCAGCTTAGAAGGAGGTCAACAGCAGGTCAGAAGGTCAACAGCAGGCCAGAAAGTCAACAGCAGGCTAAATGCACTGATCAGTGAACTCGGAATGATCTCAAATTACGTGTGGTTGTACTGGCTAGACTTGGAAAATGGACAGGAGAGCATTTGAGTAGCAAACAGGACCAGGCCGGGCCAATAGTTAAGTCTGCAAACCCAGTTGTTTATAGTGTCAGGCCCGTTTACACTTGAGCATTTTTCGGTTCGAAACTCGACACTGTTCACATTTGAGCTTTTTTTTTTTAGCCTGTAACAAAATGCCTGTTGCTCAAAAAAGTACATGCACTACTTTTCAGGCAGATTTGAGCATTTTTATCCTCATAGACTTGAATGGAAAATGCCTGAACAGCACGAAATTTGCAATTTTTTGTGTTTTTTCAGGTGTTTTCAGCTCGAACAGTAGCTCCCCTCCCCTTTTCTAGCATTACTCCACATCTTATAAACACACATCTTGCGATCAAAATGCAGGAGTGTCTGCTTTTGGAAGCTGAGACCTTCATTGCTCTCATTCCTGGCCACCCCTGCATCTATGATCCCAGGGATCCCCATTATAACAGCCAGGCCGGAACCACTAGAGCTGGAGGGAAAGTGGGATGAAACTTGGTTTTGGAAACTGGCATCACGCATTCCACAATTTTGTTTGCGCGATTGCCGCACATTTGGCGCGCTAAAAACCGCAATCCTGGCAAAAGAACCCCATGTTTTCAGGTGCCATTGATACACATTATCATAGCATATTTGAAATGCCCTAGCGTGAATAGAGCCTGAATGTAACCTCAACAGTTAGTGACCATTCACATATATGGAGCTTGGATGCGGTTAAACCGTATCCAATCTGCATGACATGTGAAATAACATTGCTTCCTATGGTGCCTGTTCACATATGTCCAATGCACTGCCAATGCAGATTCAGTGCAGTTTAACCACTTGCCTACTGGGCACTCTTACCCCTTTCCTGCCCAGACCAATTTTCAGCTTTCAGCGCTGTCGCACTTTGAATGACAATTGCACTATCATGCAACACTGCATCCAAACAAAATTTTTATCATTTTTTTGAAACAGAGCTTTCTTTTGGTGGTATTTAATCACCACTGGGTTTTTTTATTTTTTTGCTACACAAACTAAAAAAACAGAAAATTTTGAAAAGAAAAGTTTTTTCTTAGTTTCTGTTATAAGATTTTGTAAATAAGTAATTTTCTCTTTCACTGATGTGTGCTAATGAGGTTGCAGTGATGGGCACTGATAGGCTGCACTGATGAGGAGGCACTGATGGGCATTGACAGGCGGCACTAAAAGGCATCACTGATAGGCAGCACTGATGGCCTCTGATGAAACCTGGTTGGCGGCACTGACTGGCACTGATAGGTGGCACTGATGGGCACTGTTAGGTGGAACTGACTGGCACTGGTAGGTGGCACTGACTGGCACTGGTAGGCAGCACTGACTGGCACTGATATGCAGTACTGAAAGGCAGCTCTGATGGGCACTGATTTGTGGCATTGATGTGCACTGATGGGCACTGGTATGTGGCACTGATGGAAACTGACAGGTGGCAATTATGGGCACTGATGGGGCTATACTGATGATCAGTGCCCTGATGATCAGTGTAAATGTCCACTCAGGAATGCCGCTTACCGGCTCTCCTCTCCTCATGCGCTGTCAGCATGAGGAGAGGACTACCGATAACCAGCATTTCCTATTTACATGTGATCAGCTGTGATTGGACACAGATGATCACATGATAGAGCCTATGTCATTGGCTTTTTACTGAGATCGGTGATCTGCTGTGTTCCAGGGACTGATTGCTGCGCCGTGTGCCCCCGAGCGGGAGAACGTCATATGCTATCCTCTCAGAAGGAGAGAACCGCTGCCCTTCCGTCATTTCCTTATATGGCGGGTGGAAGGCGATCAAAAAAAAAAAAAAAGAGTCCTGTACGATTTCTGAGCAGTGCAATCTGGTTTAGGTGCAGATTACAGGCTATTGGCTATTGACTTCTATGGGAACCATTTCTACACCTGAACAGAATAAAATCCTCAGCTGATTCTGTCCTGAACCCAGGGGTGGACTGAAAAATCATGGGGACCCTGGGCAATAGGGGATCATGGGGCCCCTGTGTCCTTGCCCAAACTCAAAAAAGCCTATGAAAAAGGTACCAGGGGCATCTCATGGGGCCCCCTACTGACCCGGGCCCTCAGGCAGTGCCCGAGTTTCCAAATGGTCAGTCCGCCCCTGCCTGAACCTGATGTAAACCTGACCTAAATCAGTGAACAGTTACCATGTCAATTAGCTGTGAAACCTGAGCTTCAATCTGCACTGCACATGTTTGAATCAGCACTTATGCAGAAAACAGTTCTGGTGATCCTTTCCCACTACAGCATAGATCTGACATCTTTCCTGAGACGTTTATAAATGTGATCATTCCAAGATAGAGCCAATAAGTAACGTTATAAAGCTCTGACTTCTAGTGCTCTACAACTTAAACTTTCCCAGCAGAGTTTACATTGTCAGCCATACCATAATAGAGGTTTAGGTGAACACAGGCCTTAAAAATAAGGACAGTTTACAGATAAAATAAATTACACCTTCCCCATGCAATTCATAAAGTGGGTCATACCAAAACAGTAACAAGCCAGAGATCCAGTGCACACGGAAAGTAATTACAAGTAGATCTAATCCCAAGAGTAAAAATGTAATAGAAAACAGCTTACCAGTCCTCTGATGCAGTGGCTGCATTGGTTTTCTTTTTTCAGGTTAAGTACATTTTCTGCAAATACAGAAAAATACCTGTTAATCCTGCCAGCAATCGAATGTGCTTGTAACTTCCTGTGTACTGAATGTACTGTATATTACAATAAATACTATCAGTCTTTCTAGTTCTCTTCATAGAACCACACAGAACAACTCCCCCTATGTTACAGAGATGAGGAGAGGGTGAGATGCTTGTAGTTCAAATCAAGAAGGAGCCGTCTAGGTTGACAACACTGCTTCTTCAAAGATATAGTATGGTACACAAGCATTGTAAATCTGAGACAGAAAGGGCTGTTTGTATAAAAATTTGCTATGCAGATGACCTTATGATTCACAAAAGCACAACACATTATCACCATATTGCTTGTCCTATGAATATCTCCTCTGATTGTCAGCTACATCTAGCTGCCATAATGCAGTATTTTTTTTTAGAAAAATAATGCACTAAGGTCACTAGATAGAGTTAACAATTATAGAGGATAATCATATTACAAAAAATAACAGTCATAACTTGATGTGCCTGTGCGAATGTTGAATACATTCCACAGTGCAACATTTTTATACATAGCCCCCTGTGTGTTACTGGCAGGATCACCAGGTGAAAATAAAGGAAAAGTGAAAAGAAACCTAAGGCAGCCACCACATCTAAGGACTGGTAAGCCAAAATACATTATATTACAAATTCATTATTGTGTGTAAATGCATGTTAACATTTCCGAAGATGTTGGCAGTTGATCATTCTAAAAGAAAGCAGAAAGATAGGACTCTTGCACAAAGAAATTAAACTCTATTTTCAGAGAAGTTCACAAAATGAGTAATGCAAAGAGAGAGCATAAAGTCAGGGGGTAATACCGAGTCTCTGCAGAAACCATATACATTTGGTAATTATTGTAACAGCACAACATTTGTAACAAAGTTAAGTGAGAATCTATTATCGCCATCTATAGCTTAACTATTCATTAAGTTTTCTGTAAGTTCTTACATTGATTGTACAGGTGAAACAAAAAATTAGAATATCGTTAATTTATTTCAGTAATGCAACTTAAAAGGTGAAACTAATATATGAGATAGACTGATTACATGCAAAGCAAGATAGTTCAAGCCGTGATTTGTCATAATTGTGATGATTATGGCTTACAGCTCATGAAAACTCCAAATCCACAACCTCAGAAAATTAGAATATTGTGAAAAGGTGCAATATTCTCGGCTCAAAGTGTCCCACTCTAATCAGCTAATTAAGCCATAACACCTGCAAAGGGTTCCTGAGCCTTTAAATGGTCTCCCAGTCTGGTTCAGTAGGAATCACAATCATGGGAAAGACTGCTGACCTGACAGTTCTGCAGAAAACCATCATTGACACCCTCCATAAGGAGGGAAAGCCTCAAAAGGTAATTGCAATAGAAGTTGGATGTTCACAAAGTGCTGTATCAAAGCACATTAATAGAAAGTTATGTGGAAGGGAAAAGTGTGGAAGAAAAAGGTGCACAAGCAACAGGGATGACTGCAGCCTGGAGAGGATTGTCAGGAAAAGGCCATTCAAAAGTGTTGGGGACTTTCACAAGGAGTGGACTGAGGCTGGAGTCAGTGCATCAAGAGCCACCACACACAGACGGATCCTGGACATGGGCTTCAAATGTCGTATTCCTCTTGTCAAACCGCTCCTGAACAACAAACAACATCAGAAGCGTCTTACCTGGGCTAAAGAAAAACAGACCTGGTCTGTTGCTCAGTGGTCCAAAGTCCTCTTTTCTGATGAGAGCAACTTTTGCATCTCATTTTGAAACCAAGGACCCAGAGTATGGAGGAAGAATGGAGAGGCACACACTGCAAGATGCTTGAAGTCCAGTGTGAAGTTTCCACAGTCTGTGTTGATTTGGGGAGCCATGTCATCTGCTGGTGTTGGTCCACTGTGTTTCATTAACTCTAGGGTCAACGCAGCCGTCTACCAGGAGATTTTGGAGCACTTCATACTTCCTTCCACAGACGAGCTTCATGGGGACGCTGACTTCATTTTCCAGCAGGACTTGCTGCCCACACTGCCAAAAGCACAAAAACCTGGTTCAATGACTGTGGGATTATTGTGCTTGATTGACCAGCAAACTCGCCTGACCTGAACCCCATAGAGAATCTATGGGGCATTGCCAAGAGAAAGATGAGAGACATGACAGAGACCGAACAATGCAGAAGAGCTGAAGGCCGCTATTGAAGAATCCTGGTCTTCCATAACACCCCGGCAGTGCCACAGGCTGATAGTTTCCATGCCACGCCGCATTGAGGCAGTAATTGCTGCACAAGGGGCCCAAACCAAGTACTGAGTACATATGCATGCTTATTGATTGCATGTAATATTCTAATTTTCTGAGATTGTGGATTTGCGGTTTTTCATGATCTGTAAGCCATAATCATCACAATTACGACAAATCACGGTTTGAACTATCTTGCTTTGCATATAATGAGTCTATCTCACATATTAGTTTCACCTTTTAAGTTGCATTACTGAAATAAACGAACTTTTGCACGATATTCTAATTTTTCGAGTTTTTCACCTGTATGTATTTTTCATCAATTTGTTCCTAATAGTTTCACCCACCCTGTTTTGTTAATAAAGCTTCAAGATTATATTCAGTTTGGTTTATTGCAGAATAGGAGAGTTTAGCTGCATGTCAAGGTACACACAGAGAAACGTGTAGCAAGGACAGAACAGTGAAAAAGCAGCTACCAGTGAAAGAGCTGCTATCCAGCACGAGGGATACACAGTTACTACAAAGAGGCCTGCTACACTGTTAGCACAGCAGTTCCTACACAGTGAAGTACCTCAACAAGCAACATGTCACAGTCAGATTCTTTCACTTAAAACAAGGCCCAACGTCTGGTAAGTTTGGCAAGAAAGTGATAAAAAACTCTCCAAGCTCTATACCACTTCTGTGGTCATACTTCCATATACCCAATCTCTCATAGTGAACACTTCAAAGTCAATGATGGTGAAAAGTAAAGTGATTTCCTCCAACTGGTGCAACAATGGATAATTACCCTTTGAAGGTAATGACAGGCTTTGCACAAATCAATGGATAGTAGCACTCTCCAGGCTTCCTAATATTCCTGTTGCCACTCTTCCATATTCCTCATAAGGTAAAATAGGTGATTAAAGGCGGTATGTAGCAAAATATATAAAACATTTATTTAGTATCTTACATTTAAAATAGAAGAAAACCAGCTTCCAGCATTGGGAACAGCTCAGGTGTAGTCCTAGTATGGAAAAAAACACATGTTCCCACTTCCAAGATGGCCACGACAGCACTTCCGGTTGTGCGTGAGTGCGTCAGACGTCAAGTGTCCCAACGCGTTTCGTCACTTCCTGGACTTTTTCACAAGCGATCTTCAGACTACGTCTATCAACGCTCCACACCAAACAGCAACAAAGACATTGAGCAGACAAACCAAAGATGCTACGTAGCACCACCAAACATCAGCAAGGAGCCTCAAATTTGCAAACAAGAGGACTCCAAACAAAGTGAAACCTCTTATGGCAGACACCTTATCTGTAAGGTACCAGAATCTACAAATTATCCTGCAGGTCCTGCCTTCACATCAGAATGGTACAACAGGGGCTGGGTTAAACCAGAGACCCTTAAAAAGGTATGATTACACATCACCTTTTGCACCATAGCAATACGCTAATCAAGCCACAGTAGGCTTTGCCACGTTCTTTACACAACGCAAGGTAGTCACAAAAGGACTTGAAAAGTTTAATGACTGCCCTGAAAGCTGCAGGGCCTGGTGATCTTCTTTCCAAAACACTATCAGAGGCTTAGACCTGTCATATAGTAAAGAGATAGACCTTGTGATAAAATAGCTTGGAAACGAGTCAACTGAACATGCCAGGCAAATCAGGACAATAAATAATAACTACCCAGACACTGGCCTTAAAATGATCTGGGATAGAGTTACTCATGGAGAGACCCAACAGCATTGTCTGTGAATACTTATGTACATGT